CCATTCTGTTCCAGAAAATTAAAACAAGGAAGCTTTCAGTAGCATCTGAGAGAAAAAAAGAAAATACTGTATCCTATATTGACAGGTAGTAAAGTTAGTGCAAATATGTGTATGTATGTTTAAACACTCATTTGCCATACATTTTTGAAATTTGAATTATTCACACTTGCACTCCCTAATATTAGTATTCAGTTTGTCCTAATGAGCCTCCGGCAAAGAGAATTTGAATTACACAAGACGCGTAAACTTCACATTGAATGGTACTTAGTCTGTTCTGCTTAGTGGCACTTCATTTTGACGTTAATAATTTTTTTAAAAAAGATTTTATTTACTGGGACGCCTGGGTGGCTCAGTTGGTTAAGCAGCTGCCTTCGGCTCAGGTCATGATCCCAGCGTCCTGGGATCGAGTCCCACATCGGGCTCCTTGCTCGGCAGGGAACCTGCTTCTCCCTCTGCCTCTGCCTGCCATTCTGTCTGCCTGTGCTCGCTCTCTCTCCCTCTCTCTCTGACAAATAAATAAAATCTTAAAAAAAATAAATAAAAGATTTTATTTACTTATTTGACAGAGAGAGAGATCACAAGTAGGCAGAGAGGCAGGCAGAGAGAGAGAGACAGGGAAGCAGGCTCCACTGAGCAGAGAGCCCGATGTGGCCTCGATCCCTGGACCCTGAGATCAGGACCTGAGCCAAAGGCAGAGGCCTAACCCACTGAGCCACCCAGGCACCCTTGACATTAATAGTTTAATAAAAATTTTCAAAAGCCAATGACCTTATCTCCAATATATATGGGATAGCTAGGCTGAGAATTAGTAAAAGCTTTTACTCTGAGTTTAATTCCTGACTTTGCATCTAAGTCTCTGTTGTATGGTCATTGCATGTATGACTGTGGAGTCAGGGGACAGTACATCTGAACTTTGCCATTTATCACAAGGCCAAGGACAATGAAAATGTTGTCCAGTATACTAGGGACCATCCTTCCACCTTTTTGTTATTCCTGAAATTTTTATTTATCTGGGGTGTTGTTACGGAATATGGTTTTCTTTTTACTTCTCAGTTGTCTTAATTTAAAGAAAACTTCTTGGTAAAGGGGCAGGTGCTAGAATAGCTGGGTGGCTTGCTTTTATGAAGATTTTTTGGGTTGGTGAAAAGCTGACAGTGGGCATTAAACACCTAGACCAACGTGGGAGTAAAAAGTTATAAAATTTCTGGAGTTTTATACTTAACATCATATGTATGTAATTAAGACAAGAATTTAGACTTTCTTTCTTTTTTTTTTTTTTTTTTAAGATTTTATCTATTTATATGACAGAGAAAGAGATCACAAGTAGGCAGAGAGGCAGGCAGGGAAAGAGGAGGAAACAGGTCCCTGCTGAGCAGAGAGCCCAATGCGGGGCTCAATTCCAGGACCCTGGGATCATGACCTGAGCCCAAGGCAGAGGCTTAACCCACTGAGCCATCCAGGTGTCCCAAGAATTTAAACTTTCTGTGACACAAAAGTCTGTGTCATATACCACTACGGACTTTGCATTAAGAATTCTTGTTTGTCCTATGAAAGGGTTTTAAAAGTCATGGAAGGACCTCTGTAGAAGTTTTTTTTTGTTTCTTTTGTTGTTTTTTGGTACTGAAATTTACTATTTTTTAATGCTTAATATTTGAAAACATGTTGGTAGGTAAAAAATCTGTATTTTTAAGAGTCACGTTAAAAAAATATGTGTAATACTCCTTGAAGGTTGATTATTAAGCAGCAATGCTTGGGTGTTCTAGAGCCATAATTAAACTACTGATTGCAAATTATCGAAATTCAGTGAGTCAACAAACCAATTAAAAAAAACTGACGGATATTAGATTTCAAATGTTCTTCCTTAATTTAGTTTGCCCATTATACTTTATTTTAATTATTCATAGTATTGCTTAACATGCCAGGAAATGTCTTGTAATGGAATTTATAAAATAATGTAGTTTCAGTAATATGAATACTATCTTTAGCATTCTGCTTTTGAATCTCAATTGAGATATTTTGTAAGGAATTATCTAGTTTGGTGCATAAAAGCATGTCATTGCATAGTAAATTTCTCCATTTTAGAAGTTTGAAACCAAATGCTCACTTGAGAAAAAGAAATGGAATAATTGGTATTTGTCATTTTGTTGTTATTATTGAACAAATGAGAAAAAAAAATTGTGAGAAGAAAAAATACATAGTCCCACTACTAACATAGAAAAATAATTTTTCATTGAGTAGTACCTTTTTTTTTTTTTCTTCTTCAAGTTTTTTATTTAAATGCCAGTTAGTTAACATACAATGTGATGTTAGTTTCTGGTGTAGAATTGAGTGATTCCTCACTTGAGTGATTCTTCACTTAGATACAAGTGGTGCTTATCACAAGTGTACTCCTTAATCCCCATCACCTATTTCACCCATTCCCCTCCCTCCCAAACATCTGTTTATTCTCTGTATTTAAGACTCTTATTTCTTGGTTTTTCCTCCTCCCCCACCCCCATGTTCATTTGTTTCTTAAATTCCATGTATAGGAGTGCCTGGGTGGCTCGTTGGTTAAGCATCCGACTCTTGATCTCAGCTTAGGTCTTGATCTCAGAATCATGAGTTCAAGCCCCACATTGGGCTACTTTAAAAAAAAAATTTCCACACGTGGGTGAAATCATACAGTATCTGTCTTTCTCTGACTGACTTGTTTCGGTTAGCATAATACCCTAGTCCCATTCACGTTGTTGCAAACAACAAGATTGACAAGATTTCATTCTCTTTTTATGGCTGAATAATATTCCAGTGTGTGTGTGTGTCTGTGTGTGTGTGTGCGCGCGTGTGTGTATTATACCACAGCTGCTTTTTCCATTCATCAGTTGATGGACATTGGGGCTTTTTCCATAATTTGACTCTTGTCAGTAATGCTGCTATAAACATAAAGGGGCATGTATCCCTTCAAATTAGTATTATTTTTAAAAGATTTTATTTATTTATTTGACAGAGATCACAAGTAGGCAGAGAGGCAGGCAGAGGGACGGGGGGAAGCAGGTTCCCTCCTGAGCAGAGAGCCCAATGTGGGGCTCAATCCCAGGACCTGAGATCATGACCTGAACCGAAGGCAGAGGCTTAACCCACTGAGCCATGCAGGTGTCCCCAAATTAGTATTTTTGCATACTTTGGATATATACCTAATAATGCAATTGCTGGATCGTAGAGTAGTTTTATTTTTGACTTCTTGAGGAACCCCCATATTGTTTTCCACAGTGACTGCATCAGTTTGCATTCCCACCAACAGAGCAAGAGTGTTCCTTTTATTCCATATCCTTGCCAACACTTGTCATTTCTTGTGTTTCTGATTTTAGCCATTCTAATAGGCATGAGGTGATATGTCATTGTAGTTTTGGTTTGTATTTCTTTGATGATGAGTGATGTTGAGCATCCTTTCTGCGTCTGTGGGCCATCTGAATGTCTGTCTATTCATATCTTCTGCCCATTTTTTAACCTGATTAATTGTTTTTTGGGTGTTAAGTTTTAGAAGTTCTTTACATATTTTGTATACTAATCCTTTATCTGATATGTCATTTGCAAATGTCTTCTCCCATTCTGTAGATTGCCTTTTAGTTTTGTTGATTTTTTCTTCATATAGGGTATTACTTTCTGATGTTTATTGATATATATGCTTTTTTTTTTTTTTTTTTTGGCATGGATCCTAAAAATGTTGTTCATTTTAGGGAAAAGCATAACCCCTGCCCAGTTATCTTTTCTGTATCATGCCAGATATTGAAAGGATACAAGATTGGGATATATGTCACTGATTTTAAGTGGGTGAGTTAGAGGTACAGCATAATAAGGAAACCATGGAGATGTAAATTCTGATTGAAAATTTGGACATTTATTCATCATTGGTTCCATTAGGAAGTCAAAGTAAGCAAGAAAGAGCTTTTCTTTTATAGTATTGATGCAAGGTTTTCCATGTTAAGGATCTACTTCTTACTCTTACTATTAATGGTAGAGGTTCACAAATAGGTTAAATATGGATTTAAATTTTGTTCCTAAATAGAAAGGTTCTATGTAGGTTATATATTCTGGGGTACTTATATGAGTGAAAAGTAGGTAATACATTTAGAATGGAATAGGCAGTGATGAACTCTTTCCTTATTATTACACAACAATAATTACTAAGGACTTCGCAGTCCATTTAATAACTATCAGATAAAATGTTTCTTCTGTTAATTTTTTTTCTTTGCTTGTAGATGGGAGACATATTTCTTAACTGTTGAAATTTGGATGGCAAAAAATAATTGCCTTTTATCTCAAATTGAGAATTATTTTCTTTCTTGAGTCTTGTGACTCTTTATATTAAGAAGCCATTTAAAAGTTAATATTGTCTGTGACCCTTGGCTATTTTTCTGCCTCCTTCTCAATCTTCGCTGGAGCTGAACGCTGCTCCCCAAGTATAATCTGTGCTTTGATCCCTCATTGTTGTGGTATTCTCTAGTCCCTGGTCTCCAAGTACTTTCTCATTCCTCTCTTCCTGGTAATTACCTGCTTATTCTTGAGTATCTAGTTCAGGCTTGAATTCTCCCCACATTTCTGAATTCTTCTTGTCCAGTGCCCCCAGTGGAATCAACGACCCCCTTGGTTTTGTTGTCCTGGCATGTTATCGGTGGCTCTTGGACCCAGCATGACTTCTAGCTGTGTCCTATTTAATAAGAGTAGAGGCCGTGTGTTAGGCTTCTGTGTATCTTCCAGAACAGGCCCTTAGTGAGCAACTGTTGACCTGAGATGCTTAGAGTGCCATGCTTGTTGTGACGAGGCAGACAGCTGGCCTCCCCGAATTCCATGACCCTCGTGCCCCTTGCTCATGGTGCTCCTCACGCACCCTGTCCCCACCTGCTAGATCGAGGCTCTGGTTGGCAAAGAGCTTTATCGTGCAGGTGGGACGTGCCAGGATGCTGGCTCGCACCTCCCACTTGCTCCACAGCTCTGAGTCCCATCTTGTTGTCCCATTTCTGCAGGACCCCAACAGGAGCATCCACACCAGCAGCAGCAGCAGCAGCAGCTGCAGCAGCAGCAGCAGCAGCAGCAGTAGCAGCAGCAGCAGCAGCTGTAGCAGCAGCAGCAGCAGCAGCAGTAGCAGCAGCAGCAGCAGCAGCAGCACCAGTTTTTCAAAGCCTCACAAATTAATGAAGGAGCACAAGGAAAAACCTTCTAAAGACTCCAGAGAACATAAAAGTGCCTTCAAAGAACCTTCCAGGGATCACAACAAATCTTCCAAAGAATCCTCTAAGAAACCCAAAGAAAACAAACCACTGAAAGAAGAAAAAATCGTTCCTAAGATGGCCTTCAAGGAACCGAAACCCATGTCGAAAGAGCCAAAACCGGACAGTAACTTACTCACCATCACCAGTGGACAGCAAGACAAGAAGGCTCCTAGTAAAAGGCCCCCCATTTCAGATTCTGAAGAACTCTCCGCCAAAAAAAGGAAAAAGAGTAGCTCAGAGGCTTTATTTAAGAGTTTTTCTAGCGCGCCACCACTGATTCTCACGTGTTCTGCCGACAAAAAACAGATAAAAGATAAATCTCACGTCAAGATGGGAAAGGTCAAAATTGAAAGTGAGACCTCCGAGAAGAAGAAATCAACGTTACCGCCATTTGACGATATTGTGGATCCCAACGATTCTGACGTGGAGGAGAACATGTCCTCCAAATCTGATGTGAGTAGCCTTGTTGGTTTCCCTCCTTTCCCTTGTTAGTCTTCAGAGTCTGTTTCACGTGGCTGCAGGATAAGGAGCCAGGGAAGAAGATGACAGCTGAGCCATAAAATGGTAGCATGGAAGTGCTTAGAAATGAATTTCCTTAACTAATGGAAAGAAGGAAATGAAATCGTTAAAGGATCTGCACACATTTGGGCAGTGATTTAAATTGTTAAAGGAGAGATACATTCCATAGTATAATAATGGGCCATTTGAATTGTAGTAGAAAAACCGAGATGCTCATTAGAGCTTAGTTACTGTGCTTTTTGATGATTGCTGGTTTAGGAAAGTGAGAAGAATGCAATGAAACTTGAATATATGAGAAAATGAATTTAAAAGAGAAAGTTAGGAAATATTGGGGTGCAGCTCTAATGTTGATGTTTTTGATTGGTGCAATGGAGTAATTTGTTTACAGGTTGGTAATAGTGTTTTTTTCAAACAGTTTTAGTTTAATTGAGGTCACAATGATTCATATCGATTTAAAATGAATAATTTGCAAGATTTCAACTTACGTATGTACTCGTGAAACCAGGTGGTGGTATTTTGAAATTTGAAACATTTAATTTTGTTTTCATTGACTAGCCATTGATTTGGGAGAGGGCGGGGAGTGGGATCTTCATTACGTTTTTGCCGATTGGTAGGATTATCGTTTGTGGATGCCTAAAAGATTATCTGACAATCTAACATCCCTTCAAAATGTTATCTAATGTTGAGATTTAAACTAATAATTACAGATTTCTTTGAGTTGAAAGGGATTTTCACATGATCTGTTCTAATTTCCCACCGGTGTAAGGAATCCTACGCTTCTAGCAACAGAAGTATTAGTAATTTAAAAGGTATTACATTCCATTTCTGGAGAAAGAACATTATTTACTATGAAATCACGCTCACTTTGTTACAAACTTTTGCCACCTTTAGTTACTTATTAGTCATGATCAGTCCAAATAATTTCCTTACTTTGGCTTGCCAGTATTTCTAAACGATGATCAAGGAAGGTGTCTAGCTAAAACTTACTAGCAGTTTGAGAATATTTCTCTTTCTGTTCCATGGGTTCACCATATACATGTTCCTAATTCAAATGCTAGGAGAGGTGGGGGAACTTCGTAGCAGATTCTCTCTCCTGCATTTGTGCTGGAGAGAAGGGCAGCCAGGGTTAGGACTTGGCGTCAGTACTGATCCCAGTTGGCAAGAGACTACTTCCTTCTCTGCAACCCTCTACAACTAATCTTGAAAAAAAGATTTTTTTAAGATTTCATTTTTATTTATTTTAGTGAGAGTGTGAGCAAGCAGGGAATGGGGAAGCAGAGGGATAGAGAGTGAGACTCTGAAATAGACTCCATGCTCAATGTGGAGCCTGATGTGGGGCTCCATCCCACAACCTTGAAATCATGACCTGAGCCGAAACCAAGAGTCGGTCACCTAACTGACTGAGGCATCCCTAATCTTGAATATTTGTTTAAAAGATTATTTATTTATTTATTTATTAGGGAGAGAGGGTGAGAGAGAGTGGGGGAGGGAGGGTGCATGCATGAGTAGGGCGAGGGACAGAGGGAGAAGCAAGCTTCCCCGTAGCAGGGAGCCCGACGCCAGCTCAATCCCAGGACTTGGAGATCATGACCTGAGCCGAAGGCAGATGCCCAACCAACTGAGCCACCCAGGTGCCCCCCTAACCTTGAAATATTAAAAGAAAATCAGATTGGGAGTAGGGTAGCATATAAAATACAAGATATTGGGGTCATTTGTCCCAGTGTTTGGTACATATTTTATAGTGATAGTTTATTGAATGGAGATGAGAACTGATGGGTTTGTTCAGTATCTTAAACATCTATTTTTCCTTCTGTGCTTTTTACTTAAGCTCTTCTTAATACAAAACTTGTTCTTAATGCAGATGTTATTTGGAAATTTTTTTTTGTATGTTTGACTTTTAGTTCAGATCACACTAAAATGTTCATTGAGCCTCTTGGGGTGTGATTAGTCCATCAAGATTGTCAGGTTTAGCAACTTTGTCTTTCTGTATTCTGACATGTTGTGATTCTTGTAGAGCAGAGGTTTTCAAATAGTGGCTTGTGATTCACTAGTGAGCCATGAAACCGATTTAGCATGTCATCAGCAGTATTAAAAAAAATCAGAATGCGTTGTAATTAGCATGGGTAAGTAATGGTTTTTAAAAATTTCATTTCATGGGATGTGTGTATTCCTTATTTTAGGTCATGGTCAAATTCTGAAAGGCATCTTTCTTGAATGTTTGCTAATTTATGAGAAGATCAAATGACATTCATAAAGCAAAGCTCTTTCTACATGAAATTATCCCAAATAATCATTCTCTTTAGATAACTCTGTATATTCTTGTTTTTATCTCTTGCTCCCTCCCTTTTATGTATGATTTATAAGATATGGCTTTTCATAAACTTTATATTCAACTTAGTATATTTATCTAAAGCAGTATCTTTTTTTTTTTTTTTTAAGATTTTATTTATTTATTTGACAGACAGAGATCACAAGTAGGCAGAGAGGCAGGCGGAGAGAGAGGAGGAAGCAGGCTCCTTGCTGAGTAGAGAGCCCGATGTGGGGCTTGATCCCAGGACCTTGGGACCATGACCCAAACCGAAGGCAGATGCTTTAACCCACTGAGCCACCCAGGTGCCCCCAAAGCAATATCTTAAAAAATCTTTTGGAGTCAAGAGTTAGAATTATAATTCTTTGCAATAGGTAGAAAGGTTTCAAAAACAATTTATGAGCCACGTATCTGATGATTGCTACAGGAGTTTTTATAATGGGTTCTGCACATCAGTACAGAGAAAGCCACTAAAGACTTTTGGGCATTATTTGGGTATAAAACCCAACAGATACGCTTTCTTTATCAGTTTTCTGGTAGTAGTGCTTTTCTTCTTCTTGTTGTTGGTTTAATTCTCTGTGTGTAGGTGGTAAAGACAAAGAGAATTGACAAAGTGGTTCCAAATAAGCCAGTGCCCAAAACATCTTTCTGTGAGCAAGGGAGATAAAAAGGGGCTGAAATTCCCTTTATCCAGTAGTAGAAATCACCTTTGTTTGGCCTTCTTCCTACTTGGTGTCTCTCCTATGGGCAAGACAGAAGGAAGGGGAGGCCACTGCAATGAAGAGCCATGAGGAGCCCAGATCCTCCCTTGGCCAGTAACAGATTTGATAGCTTGAGACAGGCCCAACTTCAGGGGTCCAACTTCGTGATGTCCTGGGTGGTGAGTGTGTCTGCATCTGAGTAAGTGTGGTAAGATGACTGTAAGTCTTTACGGGATAAAGACTAACGTGCTTCCCAACCTCGTTATTTGAATATGAGCCAGACTTGTGTTCATTTATGGCAGATGGGGTAGTGGGGGTAATTTTAGACACAGCAGGCAGAGATCATGGACTTTGAAACAGAAGAAAGAGACAAAAAGAAATTGGAAGAGTGTGAAGAATTAAGAAGGGTGAGGGAGAAGAGATTATTTAGCTGGTAAATCTGTGAACACATCTTACCTCAGTGTATGCTAGTTATAATTAAAAGGAAGAACTTTTTAAAGAACCTTTTCCCATAATTAAGGTAGATTTGGGTTTTATATGGGAATAAAATCAGTGTTATCATGATGGATTTGGAAGCTCGGATTGTGATTCATATGGTTCTTTTTGGTTAAGATGTTTTGTACTTTGCATAGAAAAGTAGAAGTACATCCATGCCTACATGTTTTTTTGAGGGATCATTTATTAAGTGCTTAGGCAGGTAGGTAGGTAATCAAGTAATCGAATAATTAGGAGTTTATACTGTGGTGTTGGACAGGCTATGTTTTGAACCCCAGCTCTTCAGGGATCTTAGGCAAACATTTTTAACCTTCTGTATTTCTTAGTTAATTCTTTTGTAAGGTGGAGATCATAATAATGTTTATTATATAGTATTATTATGAAAATTATCAGTCTGGGTAAAGTATTTAGCACGTTAACCAAAAAATACTAGTTAACTATGATTATGTATGATGTGGCTTCTGGAAATCTTTATAACCTATAGCTTTGGAAGAGATTTTTTGCTCTTCATAAATGTAGAATTCTAGAGTCCTTTTTCAAGGGTCTGGGTTATATGTTTTTCAGGGGAAAAAGTACTTGGCATCTGTGTCCTATTGCTCTGAATTTTGTCTTGAGGCATATGGCCTTGATATGCATTTGTTGCATGGTAACGGGAAAAATAAAGGATGAAGAGTCTAAGTTTTAAATCAAAAGTTAATCCGAAGTTTCCCAGGATCTTTTTTAGCTTTTAAATTAAAATAGGTAAAGGACAAGAACATAGCTAGCACTGCATTAGGGAGGCACTCGGTTGTTTCTTTATTCCTGTTCCTATTAAAGGAAGACATCCGAAGAAATGACTTACCTTTGCGTGATTATCAATATTACACAGAATCATTTTTAAATACGTTTTGCAATCCCTGAAGTCTTTTTTCTTTTCTAAAGAAATTTAATATTATCACATGAAAGCCCATCAGTGATTTTTTTTTTCCCCTATAGAATTCAAGAGTTCACGGTGGGTGCATAGGGAGGCAGAAGGACTGGTTTATAGTTGGGTGAGCATTTCGCAAATACAGAAATCATGATAAGAGCATGTTTTCACTACGTCCGTAAATGTTAGCATTAATAGTATTTTACCTTCAAGAACCTAGGTAATCCTGTTGGAGTAAAGCTGTTCTGGTTTAGGAAATTACCATTTTGGGGTCATAATGGTCATTTATGTATGGAAGGTGACCTCACTAATGCAGCTGGAAGGGTGAGGATCGTATCAGCATCAACTAAAAGTTTATAATTGGAGTTTGTATTCACTTGTTTCAACTTTAATCGACAATTAAAAAGAACCCAAATTATCTGTCGCCTTTCCCATAATTTCCTAGGTTTTGTTTTTTCCATATAATTCAGCTTCTGAAAGAGAAGTCTGTGGAGTTGATCTTGTTTTGTGATAGAGGAAGTTT